ACAAAATCAGATATTAATAAGGCGTAACGTCGCCTTTTGCCCGAATAACTGCCTGAACTCTATCAGGCATCGTATTCACAAGGCTTGCACAGAGTTCAGGTGTAAAATTATTCCAAATTTCTTGTAATTTGGTACGCAATTGTGGTATGGTTCGTTGAGGACTATTTCTCAGATGTTGCTTCATCTTGTGCCACAGTGTCTCTATCGGATTAAGATCCGGGCTGCTGGAAGGATGTGACAAAACCTTAATATTATTTTCCCCAAACCATTTTTTTGTAGATTTTGCAGTATGGCATGAGGCACCGTCTTGCTGAAATATAAAATCCCCATTGGGATATAAGTTTGCAGCACTTGGTAAAAACGAGCTGGTTAGAATGTCCTGATATTTAGCTGCGTTAACAGTCCCTTCAATAAAGTGCAATGTGCCCAATCCTTTCGCCGACATACATCCCCACACCATAATGCCTTGTGGAAACTTGACTGTTCTTTTGAGACAATCCTTATGGAAGGCTTCTGTCTTGTCTCGAATGATGCGTTTTCGGTATACCACAAGGCATTATGGTGTGGGGATGTATGTCGGCGAAAGGATTGGGCACATTGCACTTTATTGAAGGGACTGTTAACGCAGCTAAATATCAGGAGACTATAGTCTCCCACACAAACATCAAATTTACTTTCGTCACTGTAAATGACTTTACTCCAGTCATTTTTAGACCACGACAGCTTAGATTTAGCCCAATTGTAGCGATTTTTTTTTGAACTTCCGTCAATAATGGTTTTTCTTTAGCCTGTAAATTTATATAAATAAAATTTGCACGATAAATAAATATTAACTATACTTTATAAAAGCTGAGACCACCTTGGTGGATATATTTACGGCAGCATTCTCGGGAAACGTTCATTCCAGACTCTCTATTCCACCTTGCAGTCACTTCCCGCAGCGTGTTTCTTCTTCCTGACTTGCAAATTTGTATCAAATGCCTTGCGCTTCTTTGAGAAACAATATTAATATTCCCGGTTTCACCATATTTTTTAAGGATATTAAACACAGTAGTCGTTGCTATCGCAAATTCAGTAGAAATTTCACGCATTGTTTTGCCTTTATGGTACTGACTGATAATAATTTCGCGTACTTTTCGATCGGTAGGCTTCCCGCGTGTCATTATTGCTATTTAATTGAGCAAAAATTGAAATTGACAGTATTTAAATTGTTGAATTGATAAAAGCTTCGTGGTCATAGCAACCATATTTTGTTTCAAAGCCCTTGAGATAAAAGTGAAGAAACTATAGAGAAGAGAGAATATGTGTTCCAACAATTAGTTGCCAGCGATTTTTGAACAAGAAACAGTTAAATAAATTTTAACAAAAAAATATTAGGAATTTTACCGCAAAAATATTATAAAATGACATATAAAATGTTGCCAATGCTAATTATTCAATTAAAAAAAATTAAAATCAAATTGATTTAATAAACTAGCATTTTATTTGCAAAATAAATACTTGTTCCAACATATAGTTGTTAGGGCTCGTATAAAGAATGACTTTTGGTGGAAAAATGAAAATTTTAGTCAATTTGTCCTCTTGGGCCCTCTATACGTGGAGTATATGATGAGAACTTTGCTGGACTGTATTCGATGGGCCACCCCGTATATTTCATCATCTAAAAACTAAAAAGCTTTTCATAATTTAAACAACCCATTGTAACTTTATTTCGAAGATTTCCTAGACGATATAAAAAAGTCTAGCACTTTGTGTCAAGTCGGGAGGTGTTTATCAGTGTTAAGGCACTTTAGGGGATGAAAAAACTAATTAACTTCCCGGATTTTTCTCGCTTTTGGCGCGATCTCTCGCAAATGATAAGTGTTTAGTGAAGTGGAAGACATGAAAGATCAACTTAATAACGCTCCTGGTGATGTTTTTTGCTAAACAAAACTACGAGGTTCAGTCGAATGGCCCTAAGCCTAATTAAATGTCTCCTAGTTTTTAATATCCTCTTGTGCATAGTCAAGTTTTTTGTCATCTCTACCAAATTTATATTCGATTGTAGGAAATACTGAACAGTTAAAAAGTTTTACTAAACTCCATCCATTTAGGGTTAAAATGTGGGAGTTCTTTTGTTTGGATAACCCTGCATTGTCAATAAGATTTCGAATTAAAATTTTAGGGATAGATGAGTTTATTCGAGAAAATCTGATAAGATAAAATTAAACCATTCCGCGACCGAGTTAAGAACAAAAGTAAAATTAATTAAAGTAACTTTTATAGGAACGTACTTTCGGGTTAAATCATGGTAAACTTATTGAGAAGCTGCGGAATTTCTCTCCCGAAATCGCATAAATTTCGTGCATATAAGAAAATTTGAAATTTCTTGTAAAATTATTTTCTAACGACTTGATTAATACGAATAAGACGGGTACGGGCTCTAGGCTATATATTTCGGTTATGACTTTTAATTAATATGATTTATGGGCTGATTTTCTTGCGGGAGCAACGCGAGACAAATATATTGTAGGCACGGGCCTTTTGGGAACAACGCCGCCATCAAATAAATCGACTGACGAAATTCGAGATACCGCTAATTAATTTCGTTCAAGAAAATAATACTAATTGCAAACAATTTTAAATCCGAAATGTGAGAATCATCGAACTTCTGGCTAATCATTTCTACCCCGAACTAAAATAAAATCCCTCTCATTGTCTTTTTCACAAAAGTTCGCGCACACACTGCCAGTTGATTGCAGAACAGATTTCGGGGAAAAATCTATTAAATGTTTTATAAGCCCTTTTCGCCGATTATCTGACCTCTAGTCCAGATTAACCAAAGTGGTCTTTGATGTACGCTTTTGCAAATCAAACGCCCGAATCCAATCAATAGCTGTCAATTCACGAAGCCGGGCAAAATATCCAGTTAATAAGCACGGAATTTGTAATTGATTTTTTTGAATGATATTTTAAATTAAAAAAACCTTAGGTTTGATTAATTTGCAAGAGTAGATACGTATTTATAAGTGCGAAAAGAAGCCTTGGATAATTGGAAACACGGGAAAAACAAGAAAAAAATGCAGGATAAAAAAGTGACAAACCCGCGCAATCAAGATAAACTGGCGCACATTTATTTTCCAGTGAAAGTCTCCAGATTTGGCTCGGGCGCTTTTTGTTAATTGAATCACCACCACCATCGCCGAGTGCTAGCAAGAGTTGGAATAGGACGCCATTTTGCTATTAATCATGGCCCACTCGTCGCAAGTGTTATTAAAAATGCCTGCTCTCAAATAAATATCCCCGCAATTTTTCCTCCTCGGCTATGCAAAGAATCTAATTTTAAGGAAATATCTTATGACCAAGTCGTTTTAGTTTACATAGATTTTTACCTGAGCTCTGCGGAATTTTTGCTGACATTTTTACGGCTACATTGTTATAAAGGAATTTTAATCCGTTGAATATTTTACGATCCACCTAAACTAATCATCAGTACGTTCGTTTAACTTTTATTGGGGCAAACCTCTTACAGAAAACAGCGAAATGTATTTTATTCGAACACGGGATTCGTTGCAAGATAAAATTTCTCATTTTAGCTTATATTGAAGGTGATGGGATGACACACAAATGCAACTTGCAATTTCCTCAAATCATATTATGTAAATCTGAGAATTCCATTTCGGAAATTTTGCTAAAAAAGACATTTGGTTAATTTTCTCAGAACCGTCCGAAAAAAACAAATCTGCAAATTAATCAAACTGTACTTGAACCTCCCATGCAACAATTTAAGTAGGTATTTGTTACGTATATGGGACTATTGAAGAAACTTAAAAGTGTTTTGAGACAGTCGCCGGTCTCTTTATATTACTCTTTCATTACTAAGTTACGACTAAATTGGGGAACAATTATTGAGTTCCAAAAAGGTAACAAATATGTCACTAGCTATAAACCCTGCTACTTTATTTAAAACGTAGCTGCTACGTTACTAGAACGTTCCAATATCGCTAGAGCGTTATAATTACTTTTATTTATTTGTTTTTACTTCTATATTAACTGTCTTTGTCAAACTTATATTAGATTATACTATCCCTCCTTTTTTAAATGGAACCACTACGGACTTGGCTTTTCAATGTCGTCGTTTATTAAATATGTACTGGTAGTTTATAACTTCCAGAATAACAATATAATGTTTAATTAGGCAGGTAAATTTATAAACCCTTTAAATTTTAACTTATGAATTTAGTTTTTGTAAAATAAATCCGCTTCATCAATATAATATATAAATCAGTATAAACAAATTATTTATTATTATTTTATAAATAAAAAAATCTTAATATTTAATATTAATTTTTTTATTTAATTATTAATACCGTCTATTACCAACAAAATTACTATTTATTAAAAAGTAAACAACCATTAAAATAATTTATTATTTACATTACCACGTGGTACTGTACAGTAAAAAATGGCCGATAAGAAGCATTTTCCTTTGAAGTAGCTTTCGCTACTTTAAAGTTTTTTTCCACCTTAATTTACTTTACGGTAGTTTTGGTTAGTACAATAAACGTTCCAAATACTAAAATAATAACTTTTAAGTTATTTAACTTGCAAAGGGATTACAAAGTAAAAATAATTATAATGTAATCTTTAGGTAGCAACCGAAAGTAACTGCTACAAATTAAATTTACTTGAAAGTTTTTTTTACTTATAACACCTTTTTTAAAGTTGCAAAGCCTTCTTGGGGCAACCAAGTTTTACTTAAATGTTTATTACTTTATAGTAACCATTTAAGGAAATAATGAAGTTTCTGTTACAAAATATTGCTATTTAAAAGTTAGAATTACTTTTAAGTAAAAATTAAAGTAGCTGTTTAGTATACTTAACTAATTTAAAGTTATCACCACTTTGGCAATGGTTTTTAGAACCAAAAATGCTGCTTGGGCTTATTTCAAGAGAAAGCGAGATTATAGTTTAAATTGATTACGGTTAAATGTGCTACTCATCTTATCGTCCTTTGACAGGAAACCGTCCGGAACGAAGGGATCATTACAGGGGACATAAAATGTCGCTTTGGCTGAATCTCATACCCCAGCTGCACCGGCCAGGCGAAGGAGGAGACGACATCTCCATGAGACATCATCATTTCCAAGAGGAAGATGATCAATACTACGACGGTAAGAATCAACAGCCTTCGTAATTTTCTTAATCCTTTTAACTATCGCATTTTTAGGTTCGGTCCGTCCGCAGACCAAAGACATGCCGCCGGTGGCGCACGTGATCCCGCCGCCTCACTCGACGGCCACCTCCGTACGCGCGGCGCCCGCCACCACGGCGCAGACGCCGCCGCCGCCAAAATCAGACACCGCCCTTCAAGCCACCACGACCGAATGCCCGCCAAACCAAACGCTACCGACCATAATCAAAAACACCAACAGCAACAACTTACTGAGAAAGCTCGCTTCCAGCCATTACCAAAGTTACACGACCGCTCTTACGGTGACCATAGCGGTCGGGTGCTTTCTACTGCTGCTGAACGTGCTGATATTCGCGGGTATTTACCATCAGCGCGACAGAGGAAAGAGCAAGCAGAAGCAGAAGGAGGAGCTGGCAGAAGCTGGCAGCTGCAGCAGCGGTTCCGGCGAAGCTTACTATAACAAGTCGTACAATCTCCAAAGAGCAGGCAGCTTCGAGAGGAAGCCCACTCACAGCGGTGACTATATTTATTTATTTTATTTATTTGCATCCATTTGTACAGGGTCCGGCATCAGAATTGAACGGTTTTGAAAAGGCTGCTATGGAAATACTATTGATTTGGTATATGTCAAATAATGACAGACTTATACCTTATTGCCGAAGGTTTTGTGTGCAATGTCAAACTGGCCGGTTAATCAACGGATCTTTGCTGTAAATTCGTTTACCCTGACCCAGTCCTTCGTACAAACGCAGAGACGCTTTCGTCGTGAATATAATTTTCCAGTGCGAGCTGAAGTCTCATAAAAAAATGCCATTTTGAGATGGGTAAGAGATTTTAACGAAAGAGGCAGTGTAAAATCAAAATTTTCCGCTGGAACTCGTACAGTTTGTACACAAGAAAATATTGGAAGAGTCAGAAAAGTGTTTGAGCGGCACTCGATTGCTCGTCACATTTCAGACCGAAGTTTGCGACGAATGTTACATCTGGATTTAAAACGCCATCCAAAAAACCGACAGTCCAGAGGCTAAATCCCATTGATAAAGTCAATCGACTCAATTTCTGCACACAATTTTTAATTGCCATTGTACACAAAACTTTTGGCAATAAGGAACAAGTCTGTCACTATTTGACATATATTAAATCAATATGTAGTATTTCCATAGCAGCCACGAAACTTTCGGCAATAAGGTACAAGTCTGTCACTATTTGACATATATCAAATCAAGAGTATTTCCATAGTAGCATTTTTAAAACCGTTCAATTTTGTTGCCGAACCCTGTATAACACCATTTCACATTTTTTTATTCATATGATAAAAAACTGGAATCGAATAAAATACCTAGATCTCTAAAAGTTGTATCTCTTACTAAATGTGATGCAGAAAGGGAAAAGGTCCTATGGGTCTCAGGGAAAAATCAGTTTTCTTACTTGCTTGCTTTATTTTATTTTTGGGAAATGTTAAATACAAATTTGGCACCATTGAAGCGTTCCGTAGAAAAAGTCTAACTCGGACAATTTTCAAGGTAGGATTTGGTTTAAAAATGTTCAGAACCCAGATAACCAAGGTTTGGAAAAGAAGTTAGTCAACTTTGTTTCAAACTAAGTTTGGCGTATAATATTTTACAATACACAGGGTGTCACCAAATAAGTTGTCATCCTTTAAGGGGATAATAGTAATCGCCAAAATAAATAAGCCATTTTTTAGGGGGAGAGGGGTTCAAATCATTAGAAAAATGCCTCACGTAATTAATGTATGTCCCCTTCCTATAGCCAGTTAAAACAATATTCATATCGCGTTAAAAAACGGTTACTGTAACATTTTTATATTTTTGACTTATACAGGGTGTTTAATGCATCTACATAATATGATCCTTTAAATATTAAGTCGATTTATAAAAAAATGTAATGAAAGTATATTAGGAAACTAGATAAAAATTGTTATACATAAATATTAAAATGATTTTTTAAAACAAAAATAATAGAAACTAGATGGTCTCAAGATATGAAGCTCTACATGCCTTAAAAAAGAATTACAAAGCTGTGCAGAATTTATTTTTGAATATAAGTACTTCTATTAGAAATAAAGCTCTTGGTTTACATAAAAAAATAAAGAACCTTGAAACGTTTATTTTAATCATTACATGGGAAAAAATCTTGGAAAGGGTAATTGCCACTAGAAAAACTTTAGAAACCGTTGAACTAAATATATTTTCGGGTGTGCAGGTATTGTGTTCACTTTTGAAAAAGTAAGGACACAATTTGATGAAATAGAATCAGATGCAAACCTAGAAGAAAATATGAGGTGAAGCGATCCAGACAAAAAAAATATTAAGTGAAGAAACCACATAAACAAAAAAAAATTAGGTGGTTTTAAAAGGTAGAGAAAAGTTTAGAATCCAAGTATTTTATGTAATATGTAAAGCTATAGTACAAGATTTGCAAAGAAGAGTTTCGTGTTATGATGAAGTTACCTCCTTTTTTAAGTGTTTCGTTACTACAAATAAAAACGAGATAACAGAGTCAATAAATAAACTAAAGTCCAACTCTTATTCCCTAAAAAAACAATAGCCAACAGTCGCTAAAGATTTAGCAACAGTGTTATAAAATAAACTTTTTTGTTTAGTACTTGGTACTACAGAAAAATTACAAGGGGACCAAAAACTTTTAACGCCCGGGGCCCGAAAAATCTCTTGTTTTTTCAGCAGATGACAGCATTCTCTGTGTTAAATAAAATTGTTAACTTTCTGTGTAGGTATATTTAAACCATTGGGATTTGTTATATGTGCAAAAAGGCGTGAAAAACGTGCTCGTGTGCAAGTAATGTATCATCGTGCAGTTTATAAATGTTTGTTAAACATTAAACAACTTTAAATTTTGTGTACTAAATACAACAGTTTCCAAAAATTAAATTAAATACAACAGTTAATTAAGTATTAGATGTCAATATAAACGAGAAATTTTTGTATAAAGCTTTAAAATTTCTTTTTAAACTTAAAAACTATTTTATCATGCCCAAACATTTCCAAAATATTACCAACTGTAACCTACCTAGACTAAACAAAACAGTTTAGCATTTTATTGTAGGTATATATATTAGGGTGTGTCATTTTTAAGCAACTTTTTTTTTTCAACTAAAAACAGGCTAAAAACTTTCAGGAAGGTGAAAAAAGAAACCTCTAAAAATTTGAGCTCTTAATATTAACATTAAGTGGTGCCTGTTCCTAACTTTCCATTTTCCATTTAAATAACATGGACATTTTTTTTCTTTTTTCTTCCTTTTGTAGCTTGACATTTGAGGATTGTAAAAACGAACTGAAAAATTATTTTGGTGGGAAATTGAACGCTCTACAAAAATGTTTCAATATATTTTTTCATAGAGTGAGCCGTTCTGAAGGTATTCAAACTTAAAGTTGCCTTTAACATTTCGAATCGCGGCACGTTAGCGTGCCTCTAGTCACTGTGTAATCCGAACGGTAATATACCGACTGAGCCGATATAATCTTTTATCAGAGTTATCGACTTTAAAATTATAAAAAAGAAAGATTAAAAATTCAATACAACAACACATTCATTGTTTTATTTAATCTATTATAATTATTGAACAAATTTATTGATCTGAAATAACTTTTTTTGATAGTAAATAAAATAAAATGGAAAAAAAATTGAGATATAAGTGTTATTTTCTTTCTAAACGAAAATAATTATTTTTTCTTAAAATAATTTTTAAGACATAAAAAAGTATTAGTTTAATAAAATAAAAGTCATAATTTCATACATGTGCAAGTTTGAATACCTTCAGAACGGCTTACTCTATGAAAAAATAAATTAGTACTTTTTTGTAGAGCCACCAATGTTATTATAAAGAGCTCAAATTTTTAGAGGCTTCTTTTTTCACCTTCCTGAAAGTTTTTAGCCTGTTTTTTTAATGAAAAAAAGAAGTTGCTCAAAAATGACACACCCTAATATATATTATTATATTATTATTATTATATTTATTGGCAAAATATTGCCAAAACCGTAGCTCTCTGGGAATTTAGTGTGGTATTTAAAAAAATTTCATAAAGAGGTCCCTTTTCACTTTCCCCACCCAAACGTGTACTATAAATTTTGCAATCATAATTGAATAATGTCTTCTTTCTAGAGTATGATAAAAGGACTTTAGCGGACTTGCAAATGACCGAGCTTCCCTTACAGGAATTCAACTCGTCTCCTCCACCCGCTAAAAGGCCGGCGGCAGAGTCGAGTTCGAAAACCTATCCGCCAGATGTCACCAGCGACGCGGAGGCGTTGAGCAACGTGGTGTCGAGTCCGAGCATTCCGGAGCCGCCGCCGCCGCCCAAAAATCAGCCACCCGCTCAGGGTTACCACCATCAGCACCACCATCAGCAGCAGCAGCAGCAGCAACAGGTCGGTATTCTGAGGCCGCACGGGGCGCCAACCACTCCGGGGACCATGAAAAAACGGGTGCAGATCCAGGAGATCAGCGTTTAAGTGTTTCTAAATTATGTGTGGACTCGCGACTTCTTTTTGTAAATTAAATCAAATCAAATCATATCTGACTGATGATTTTTAAAGCTAGTTAAATAAACGCACTGTGATTGTCATAACATTTACTGTAAAAACAATTTTTTGCTGTTAAATGTTTTATTCCACTTTATTATTAATAATAATAATATTGCAGGAACACTAATGCAGGAATCAAAAATAGGATTGAACAACTAAAGAATACATTATTGAAAATTTAATAAATTTGGAAATTTAAATAAATTACAACAACTTCGATTTTTTTGAAATTTCTCAAATTTTGGAAAATTTAAAATTGTGCATTTTCGAAATTTTGAGTTTTCTGGAAATTTATAAAAATTTGAATACTTATATTGAAAATTCAAGAAATTTTAAAATTTGTCCTACCATTTTTTATATTTATGAGACTGTGCGAATTTCTCCTACTATTTTTTAAATTCATGACTTGGAATTTTTTAAATGTATGCCTCTGCGAATTTCGTCGAATTTTCTAATATGACACAGGCATGTGCGCGCCCCATTTCCGTTTAATCTTTCCTAACGCCAAACCAAAGTTCCGCAAAGAAGTTTTGCTTCCCAAACCAAAAAAAAATGTAAGACTTAGTAACTGTTAATCTCCAGAAAAAGACAGGTATGTTTTGGGAATTTTAAAAATTTATTAAATTTTGTGGATTTTAAAATTTTTAAAAGGTTTTGAAAATTTAAAAAAATTACAAAATTTCAAGTTTTATAATTTTAAATTCTTTGTAAATTTTGATAAATTCACTTCACTGTGCAAATTTTTCCTAATATTTTATAAATTTATCACAGTACATTTTTAAATTTATGCCAATGTGCCAATTTTTTCCGCATTTTTTTTTTGAACCACTGTGCGAATTACAAAACTTTTTTTAGAAAAAATATTGTAGATAATTTATTTTATCTATTTTGGTTTCATAATGACTTCATTATAACACCGCTTTTGGTTCTTTAATGAGGTACTTTATTCCACCCAAAATTTTGATTTTATAGGTTGGCTACTGGTAAAATACAATTTTGAATACCTATAGGTTATAATATTTTTATGATTTGTTTTCTAGTACTTACGAGACTTTTCGTGTAATAAATTTTGTTTAACACCAAAGAAAATCCTTTTTTCTTCTTTAACAGCCGCTTATTGTAAATACTTATTGTAAATTAACGACGCCATAGCGAAAGAATGTGATAATGTTTGAAAGGTTAATGACCTTTCAAACTTCAAACTTTGTTATCTACGATACCAACTATGTAAAGTAAAATTTAACCAAATTAAATATAAGGTATAAAATTAATTTGTTTTATGAAATGTTTGCAAAATAGATAAAATAGCATAAAGAACTCATGTCATAAGACCTTTTGTCGCACTTGTCCATTATAAAACTCGCTCCTTCGTCGCTCGTTTTATAAATTGTCCGCGTGCGACAAAATGACGTCTTATGACATTAGTTCTTTAATATACTAATATAATATTTTGGTTGGTTATACAGTTGTATTCATTAAAAAAGCGTACAAGAATTAGAATGAGAGAAAACTGTCAACATTATTGCGTAAAACCGGCTTTCCACTGACTTAAGTCACTATAACTGACAGTAGAAAATAAAAATGCCTCGTCAGTTAAAAAGGCTCAAATAGTATCAAGAATCGAAGAAGAATGATCAATTCGTACTGTGGTATAATAGAAATAAAAAATCTATATTAAAAATTAAGCAACGCTGGGAACAGGAAGATTTACTAAACTAAAAAGTTGGTTCAGGTCGTCCCAAAATGTCCACCCCTGAACAGGATGATGCTTTTTTGGGATATCTGAGGATTTATGGGAAACTATACAACTATACTATACTGCTGGGAAGATATTAATCCAAATATTGTATTAAATTTAATTCAGTTCATCCCAAATAGATTGGCTCAAGTAATAGAAAAACAGGGATGCATAACTAAATATTAAATATTTTTTAATGTTTGGTTTTTTTTTTTCATTTCTAAAAGGTAATAATTTTTGTAATATTATTTAATTAACCTACGACGTCAATGCTCTTTATAACCTATAGTAATTATTTTAATGACTTATGTCAGTGATAAGCCGGTTTTAAGCAATAATATTATTTTGACAGTTTTCTCTCATTCTAATTCTTGTACGCTTTTTTATTGAATACAACTGTACATCAAATAAATAAAACGCAAGAAATATTTTATAGTAAATATAATTTTAATAATTGAAAGGTGTGGACGGGACAAAAATAGCTATTTACATATCATGGCAGGAAAATAGTGCTTTTCCTTCCGCGAATAGTTTGATTAAATATTCAAGGGAGGAAAAGCATTTTCCTCCTGAGGTATGTATATAGTTTTTCTATAACCTTTTAACGGTTTTAAGACATTTTAAGCGTTCCGGTTCCTTTTACTAACCCGGTATGGGGCTATAAAATTATGACAAAATATTAGGTAGGTGTTGCGTCGCCGTCGTTATGTTGACAACGCTTTGTTGCTATGGTATTTTTGTTAATACAAACATAACAGTTTTTATAAGCTGTCAGAATGTTTATCATAAATTTGAAATTCTTTCAACGTTTTGAAAATGAGTTCTAGCGAAGAAGACCTTCCGCAAGATCTTGCTAAAGAGGCAAGAATAGTTGCAATTAATTTCCTTCCTTAAAAATCGAAAGAGCGATATGAAAATAAATATAGTTTGTTAAAAGAATGGTTGGACAAGCGCGGAGTAAATCTTTTTCCTACAAAATAAATTAGGGCTAGACAAGATACAAAAACTCTTGCTAATGTTAAATTGTTAAAAAAAAAAGAGGGAGGAAATTTTTTTCCTCCCGGGGAGGAAAAGAGGCATTTTCCTCCCTCGCTCGGGGGTGGAAAATTAAGTTTTCTAGTAAGGTAGTAGAAAAAAGATTTATCTTATCCCGTCCTCACCTGTCAATTATTGAAATTATCTCTACTTTTATAAAATATTTCTTGCGGTTTTTTTTATTTAATCTTAGCCTTACAAAAGAATAATATGTTTGACAAATTTGATGCAAAAATAATATAAATAATAATATACCTACAATTTTTTTTATAAAAACATTTTTGTAATTTGTCCCGTCCGTATGCTTGAAATGGCCGAAATACACTTAATCTCAAGAAAAAGACAGTTGTCAGGTCTGGCATCCTAGCGGACTGTCCAAGTATCACTATTTTATGATTGTGGAATAAGCGGTATATCTTTGGAATCAGTTCAATTCTATTTTTGACCCTGTAAAAAAAAGAATGGCCTAATTTCAAACGAAATATGGCAACGTTTTGTTAACTGGGAATTGACGTTATGGAATTTTTGTATAGTTTATTATTATTATTATAGTACAAAATAAATGTTTATTTACAATTACAAAATACAATATTTATTGAGGACTAACTAATCTACGTTAATGTTTATAAATCAAAATGTGTTTACATGAATAATGTAAACATTTCCTGCATACAGTTTTATTTAATTAAAAAATATGTTAAAATCATGTAAAGCTGGGAATTGATTAAAAAATGGATTTGTTTATGAATTGACTTAATATGGCAAATATTAGTGCTCCTTGTACATTATATAAACTGAAATTGTTAAATCAATTTTAAACTTAATTTAACACTATAGTCGATACCAAAAACCATTGTCAAACTACGGACAATCAAAAACGTCATCCATTAATAAAAAATACCTTATATAATCAAAAACATAACTTCACACCATCAAAATTTATTTTGTTGTCGACTATAATACACTGGTCTGCAAAGTTTTAATAATGATGCTGAATCTCAATCTGGTGAAAACTTCACAAAAAATAACGTACCTATGGTTTTAATTCCGTTTTATTTGAGTATGACTATAAATCAATTGTAAATAAAATTCTGTAATTTTAAATTATTCCGAAAAAAAAAATGCAGATTTAGATTCCAAAAATCTTCATTCATTGCAGCCCAGCGTTCCTGACCCCGTGCCAACGTAAACAACTAAACTAACTAAATTTTACTGTAAATAACGACAGTATTGTGAATGTACGACTTTTAAGAAAACTGCCATGCAACCCTGAAAAGAATTTGACTACTAAATCGTGTCCACTAAACAAGCCTTAAGGCGCGATTTAGTAACGTAATTTAGTCTGGTCGTCTGTTTACAATACGCAAGAATGGTTTTTACTTGAAATAACATCGGCTTGCATAAACCGGCCCCAGCATGACTTATGTTTGTTTTATTAACCAAACTAATTTATTATTGAAGACATGCTCGGGCCGGTTTTAAAACCTTCTAAACTAGGATTGTACATAATATTACAGGTATTTTTATATACTACTCTACTAACTTATATAAAAGCTGATGTTATTTTCAAAATAACTATAATTTTAAGTCAAGTACACGAAAATCTGATGTTTATTATAAAAAAATACATCCTTTATCGATGTGACATCTTGTAAAATGTTTATTAAATAAATACGTTATGACAATTTATCTGTGTTTTATTGTTTTACATGAATTCAAGCGTAGGTGAGTATACTGGGTTGCATACATACAGTTAAATATGTAATACTTTTTATAATACTTATAGGCAAAGATAACACAATAATAATATCTTTGCGTATAGGCTCATTCCATGACAAACGATACTGAGGGTGAAAAAATAAATATGTTCTTTTCGCATTAAATCTGATAAATTTTAAAAGAAAACATTTCAAATTATAATGTACGGCAAAAAAACTAGAAGAAAGGCGTAATTTTTAAGTTAATTAGTCTTCAAAATCTGTACTCAACTGGCTGAATGACCATTGTGCCTCTAACTATTGGAAAAAAAAACTGTCAATATATCAACCCTTTTGCCACGTTGTAATTAAAGGTTATTTATCGTAGTAATGGTGGATTACGTCACAGTGCCGAAAAAATTGATAATTATCACGTTATAAGTGTGTTTTCTTGTTACTTTGACACTGTAGCACCCGAAACGAAAAATGAGGTAATTGTTTTCTTATTATACCTTACAGATTAATTAGTGTTATAATATTTAGTAAAAGTAGGATTTTAATGATTTAAAATACTAACTAATATCTGAGCATAAGACTAATGTTTTTTTCTTGATTAAAAACTGTAGGTAACACCCGAAACGTTTCGGGTGTTACCACTGTTTTCATATGTGTGTATTGCTTTTTATTTTATTTTTTGACTTTGACTTTTTTATTTTATATGCTGTATTCGATTTTTTACTTGTTTTTTATACTTTTTATTAATTTTATTGCCTTAAAAAACTTTTTTTGAACTTTTTTACCTTATTTTAAACTGATAGACTTGATTTTTGCATGGTTTATGAGCCGGTTTTGCTTGGTTTATGGGCCAGTTTTTTATTATATTTTTAACTTTTATGTCTTTTT